AGCTACATAAAGTGGTGTACGTCTTTGGGCAATGATTTTGGCAATATTTGTTAAGTGTCTTTAAGATGTTTCTTTCTTTCATGAGATCATACTTTGGAGAAACTGTTCTAGGAACATAATGTATGTCTTTAGATACACATCTTCCTGGGCTTCTCAGCTGGTGCTAATGGTCAAGAGCCTGCCTGTCAAGGCAGGAGACATAAGAGACATGGGTTTGAACCCTGAATTGGGAAGATCCCCTGGAGGAGGGCATGTCAACCCATTTCAGAATCTAACTTGGAGAATCCCATGGACAGAGAAGTCTGGTGGGCTACAGTCCATGGGGTTGCAAAGAGTCAGACATGACTAAGCAACTTAGCACACGTGCACGCATCTTCCTACATGGCTACACACAGCGTGTGAAGCAAGACCCTTTACAGAGAGAGGCAGCATAGCCGAGAGGTTAAGGGCAGGATTCTGGAGAGCCTGGGCTGAAACTCTGACTCCAATCACTGACTGAATACATGATACTGAGCAAAATGCTTAAATTCTGTGCCTTGTCTTCCTCATCTATGACATGGAGATCATTTTAGTGCCTCACAGTTCTCTGTGAGGCACTAAATGAGGTCATAAATACAAATCACTTTCGCCAGTGAATTTAATAGATGTTCACTGTTACCATGATCATGTTCGTGTTCATTATCATGTTTATGGGCCCAATTATAAGAGCAAACAATGGTAAGAACTCCAAAGGCACCAGAATACAATATGGCTGCATAAACTGTGGCCTATCCACTTAAGGGCCAACTTATTAACCTGTCATTCGGGGTGAAGTCAGTCAGACAGGGAAGCAGAAATATCATATGACATCCTTTATATGTGGAATCTACAAAGAAATGATACACATGAACTTCCTTAAAAAACAGAAAGAGACTCACAGACTTAGAAAACACACTGATGGCTGCCAGTGGGGAAAAGGGATAGTTAAGGACTTTGGGAAGGTTATGTACACACTGCTATATTTAAAATGGATAACCAGCAGAAAGCTATTGTATAGCACATGGAACTCTGCTCACTGTTATGTGCCAGCCTGGATGGGAAGGGAGTTTGACGGAGAATGGATACTTGTGCATGTAGTTCATCTCAAACTATCACAATATTGTTAATTGGCTATATCCTAATATAAACTGTTTCTGGTGTTAAAAATAAATAAATAAATAAAAATAAATAAAATAAAAAAATTCATCACAGCATACACTTATTTTTTAGCATGGAAACTAATTTCTGTAAATGTTTAATGCAGTCTGAATTTCGTGGTGAAACACACAAGAAACACACTGGGTCACATTTTAACATCATGGACATTGGGATGTGTCTTAAAGTCAAGGGCATGCCACAGTTTAATGGGGAGTGTATGATGCAGCCCAACTTGCTTCAGTCTGTGGTAGGCAGAATAATGGCCTCCCAGTGATGTCCATGTCCTCACTGCAAAAACCGGTCAACCACCAGATAGGCGGAACAGACTTTGTAGATGTGATTAAACTAAGGCCCGTGACCTGGGGAGGTTATCTGGGATCACAAGGGGCCTTACGAGAAGGTGGTAGGGGTTGGAGTTAGTAGTAGACGATGTGATGACAGACGCAGAGATGGGATGATAGGAAGAAGGGGCCAGGAGCCAAGAAATGCATGCAGCCTCTAGCAATTGAAAATGGTAAGGAAATGATTCTTCCTGAAGCCTCTAGAAGGAGTCAGTTCTACCAACACCTTGACTTTAGCCCAATGAAACTGAGTTTGGATTTCTGACCTTCAGAACTGTAAGAGAGTGTGTGTTGTTTTAAGCTACCAGGTTCACGGTAATTTGTTACAGCAGCAATAGAAAACTAATGCACAGTCACATTGGGTGAAATAAGGTTCTTTTTACTTCAAGGCATCGTAAACAATGTTAGGCCCTTGGTGTTTCTGAACACCTCTTCACAGCATACGGGACAATCAACGTAAAGCTGTTGAATGAATGTTGAATGCAATAGCATACAGCCATCAGAATGATGTTTCAAAAATAAAAAGTATAAATTTGCATTTCAGTGAAATCGCCATTATACTAAATGGGCAGACATCAAGTTATGCATGTAAAAATTACAGAAAAACACACAGTTATAGTGATTAGTTCTGTACGTTAGGACTCGAAGTGACTTTACTTTTTGTTTTTATGTTTCCACATTTTTTTTTTTTTTGACAATGAAGAGGTACAACTTTCTTAATGGGAAAAAAGCACATCTAATTTACCTAAGAAGCAGACAGTAGTATAATATAGAAGATGAAAAGCAACTGAGACAATATTGATAAACATAATCTCTTCATGTACCAATAGCTCTAATTTAGTTAGTAATTCAAATCTTTGAATTCATAGGTCTGGCATGTCAGTAAAACTGTGCAGTCATCATGCATTTGTGTTTTGATTTTGCAGACATGGGTCAGCTTTAATAATAGTACAGTTATGATGATCATCTTCAAAAATCATCTGCTGACCAGCCGCTGTGAGCTGCATGCGGACGGCAGGGTGTCAAAGAGCCAATGATGGAGGCAGAATTATTGGCAATTGACTCAATGGTAAGAAAAAAGGCAAAGAGAAGAGAAGCTGGGAAGCTGAGGATTAGGTATGGAAAGATGAGGATTCTTCCTAGAACTGTGGCTCTCTGATCTCGGGGAAGGCGATCCACCACTCTGGACCTCAGTCTCTTCCTGTGTGTTATGAGGGGGTAGGACACAGTATGTTAAGAGGCTTAAACATGTGAGAGTTACGGCAGCAGCCTGGTGTCTGGTTAGTCACTGAAGATTTACAGCTTGTCACCTGTCAGCCTTTAGAGTAAAGCATCATGACCTTGGGAAATGACCTTTCTTCCATCAGAACTAAGATGGAAGCACATTAACAAGACTTAGTATGAGTTTTCCAACTAACCACAATGCCTCATCATTACACAATTATTATGACTTTGGGCTTTCCTGGTGGCTCAGATGGTTAAGAATCTGCTTGCAATAAAGGAGACCTGGGTTTGATCCCTGGGTCAGGAAGATCCCCTGGAGAAGGCAATGACTTTCCCACTTCAGTAAGTCAGTAAATTATCACTTTAAATGAAAATGCCAATTTTGGAAGACATTGTGTGTGAAAATTTAGTGGAAGTTTGAAATGTCCTAGGATATTTATCTTTTTTCTAGAAAGTACTTATAGAATACCCTTATTTGAAAGAGATTTCAGTTATTTAATTGAAATCTAGAGGAAGTTTTAAGTCTTCAGGGTGGAATAAATCACCTATATATTTAACTTTAATGCAAAACAGAAAGGTAAATGCCAGAGAAATATATAGATGTATTATTATGGATAGAATTTCAGAGGAAAGAGAGAATACGTGTGGCTGTCCTAGCAGAGCGACGATAAAGAAAGCTTACAGGGGGCATGGTGTCGAAGGCTACCGGGATCCAGAATTCAAAGACTGAGGTGGAAGAGGGGACTTTCCAGCTGGAAGGAACAGAACGAGCAATGTCTTGGTGGCACAGAGAATGTGGGGTGCGTGTGGAGAAGAACATGGAGTGAATTGGATGGTACTGAACGCCATGTTGAAGGTGGCTCAGATGGTAAAGAAACTGCCTGCAATGCAGGAGACCCAGGTTCGATTCCTGGGTCTGGAAGATGCCCTAGAGAACAGAATGGCAGCCCACTCCAGTATTCTTGCCTGGAGAGTTCCATGGACAGAGGAGCCTGGTGGGTTACAGTCCATAGGTGGCAAAGAATCAGACATGACTGAGCGACTAACACGAATTCCAAGTTGAGGCACTATGGGATAAAAATTGAAATGACAGACAAGATAGAAACAGCCAAGGTCTGCTGCTGCTGACTGCAACTGCTGACTGAAGAAGACTGCACTTCACTCCACAGGCAGCTGAGAGCCATAGAGGACTTCTGAACAATTATTTAATTGATTTTCATTCACTTCCCACTGTTACAGAGGCCAAAGGTAAATTTGTAGTTTAAAGGTCATCACAATTTCTCACTTAACATGTGAATAAAATTCTAAGTAACGGTCTGTATATCACCTGGTGAACTGGAGAAGATCTAAACTTTTCAAGTTGGAAGCTCTGAGGGAGGTTTCCTTCACTGCTCTAGTATTTATGTTGTGTTGAAGAGGTGTGGCTCCATGATGTGGGGATGAAAGCCATGCACACAGGGGGACCAGGAAGCCCAGTTGTCTGAGAGATAGAAGGTGACTTGGTCACAATGACCTTATCCTGTGGCCCCCAGGCTTCCCAGTCTCAGGTCTTCTGGACACCAGGGCTCGGCTCTGGCCTTCACACACTGCTGCTGTTCCTCCTAATTACTGTCTGGGCACTGGCATGTTGTACATGCAAACACAACACTCATTTGACTTGGTGCTCTCATTGTGTTTGAATGAGTGTATGTACATGCATGTGCATTTATATGTATTGATAAATGTGTAAAAACACATGCGCTCACACAAAATGCCAATGGCACATACCATTACCTTATTGTTATACTGTTATTTTGTAGGGAAGTCTATATTTTTCCTAAATGGTTTGTGAGCATTTTAAGAGCAGGCCCACCATACTGTATTATGAATCCAGCCAATACTCAATTAGTATTTATTGATTAGTTGATTTAAGCTAAGTCCTTCAGCCTGTGGCACATGGTGCATTCCTTTCAGGATCAGAAGAACAGCTGGTTCACGTACTTGCTATAATGAGACAAAAAATATGGTTTCTATTTTCTTTTAGGTATGAAAAAGGCAAGATGGCTTATTTCTTTAAAAGCTCCTGAGATAAGGTAACTGAATTCAGCACATGAAAGCCATCCGTCAATACACGTGTGCGTGCGTGTGTGTGTGTGTGAAAGCAGCCAGCTCCCAAGTGCAAAGTAGAGAAATGTGCTAAATATTAAATGCAGGTGGTGGTAGCAAATGGCTACAGTTCATCAGTTGGCAAGGTTTTCATGTAGTCTATTTGACACTTACCTCAATAAAGAAGATACTGGCTGCTGATGTCGGGTGGTGATACATATAGACTGTCACAAGGATGGCTGCGGCTATAATGAGGACCAGGATGAGAATCCCGACGATGAGACCAGCATGAAGGGCTCCTCCTTTCTTCTCGGCTGCACTGTCATCTGTAGAGGCTGGAAGAACAGGACAGCTGTCAGACATTGATGGGTGCACTCATAGATCTGCATTTTCATTGAGGGGGATATTCATATTCTTAATAAAGTACCAGTGAAAATTTTTTTTAAACTTTCTGAATGACTTTTCTTTTCCGCAACACCAATTTTAGAAGTTAGATGCTCTTTCCTTGGCAAATGAAAAAACCCATACTCTTAATGATTAAAAGCACATTTATAACTATGTTTTAATTTATGGTTCAATAGTCTCTATTCTGTTAAATAAGGCAAAATTAATAGCCTTTATTCTAAAAGTACTGGGGAAAATCTAAAACTCTAATTAACTGTATAATAAATTTAACTTTGATCTTTCTCATTAAACCACTGGCACTGTTACCTATGGAAAAATTGATTACTTTTTGAAATCTCCTCTCTCATTTTCTTTTGGAAAATTTGAACTGAAGAGTACCAAACATCTTTTGGTGGGCTACACAGGCATTTTGAGAAAGTCTGTGCATGAGTTCAAAGGATAATTTTCAAAATCTGTTTTAAACTGAAATGCTCTATAAAAGTGTAACAGATGGATGCTAAATGACCCGCAAATAGTTTATCACTATCTAAAGGGAACACAGCATATGAGAATATTCTACTATGCCACAGACTAATATCATTTTCTGTAACTTTACTAAGATACTCTCCATTGTAATATCCATTTCAGAGAGAAAGGAAAAAGGAGAAATTAAATTTTGAAAGCAATAATTAGCCTAGCCAAGCCAACCAACCAAATAAAACCAATCTCTAAAGTCTTCTCTTGTTCTAAGATTCTATAATATTTGATGTCTACTCAGGCATTTAGAGGAGATATTCTTAAATTATGTGCAGCAGGAAATTGTGCCTTATTACATAATATGATGGGTATTTTTGAATCATTAGAAAATTCTTTAAGACTCATAGAAGTTCTAGAACAGTGATTCCAAATCCTTTCATTAGCAATTTACATCTTTGTTATTTCCAACTTTTGCATCTATGTTTTAAACATTTTTTGGTCTATTAAACCTCACTTAATAAGCACTGATTTATTTCTTTTATCATAATTTTTGTTAGTAGAAAAAACCAGATGTGACTACCTATCAGAATGTGTGGTAAATACAAGAAAACGAAATTACAAATGGAGAAGAGAAATATGAACTCCCAATTCTTCCCGTCCATGTTTTCAAGTTTTGTTGCTATTATTTGTTTATTCTTTGTGTGAGACCCATAGTTCAGCAATCCTTCTCCACGTCTAATGGGCTTCCCTGGTGCCTCAGGTGGTAAAGAAACTGCCTGCCATGTGGGAGACCTGGGTTCGATCCCGGGGTTGGGAAGATCCCCAGGAGGGCATGGCAACCCACCCCAGTACTCTTGCCTGGAGAATCCCCATGGACAGAGGAGCCTGGGGGGTTACAGTGCATGGGGTCGCAGACAGTTGGACACGACGGAGCGATTAAGCACAGCACAGCACTCCACATCTGATAAAGCCTAAATTCCTAAAGCTTTCCCTTACAAAACAGAAGTTCATTAGTCACGGAATGTAAAATTTAGGGTAATTCATTATGAAAAAGTTCATTTTCATAGGATTCTGGAAGATGGTAGAGGAAGTATCAGGAATGTCTTCTCATATTGACAACAATTCCACTGGCAGAATCTGACAACTCTGGACTCTATTGAAGGCTTGTAACTTCCAGGAAGAAGGCTCACACTGCATGTCGTAGTTAATTCAAGGCAATTTCAGCGCTTAGGACAGTAGTAACTACCCATCCTTGGCTGCTCAGTCATGGGGCAGGCAGCTACACCCCTGCTCCTGATGCAGCCCATCTAGTCTTTGGTTAGGCCCTCTCTCCATGTGGTCAATAACAGTAATGATGTCATAGGGTTGCTGTGAAAATCAAACATCTCATACATACTAAGTACATGAGAATGCACCTGGCATATAATAAGTACTTAACTGATGTAGTTATTACATTATTATATTTTATATGAGGCAGATTGAGGCAAATTACACTGTCAGATTCAGGACACTGCATAAACTATGTTTTTGCCCTTAACACTTGTTACTTTTAAGAGTCTGGTTTCATTCTTAAGTATGCTTGTATTCTTGCATTGTGTACACTTGATTTTTTTTCTTATTTTTAAAAGAGGGTAACAGATCCCTTTCATGGAAAAATAGGATTAATTCAAAATGTTGCTTTGGAGAATATGTGGCAAAAATATCTGCTAGAGTCACAAAAGGAAGCCTTGAATGTTTATTCAAATCTCATGTATAATTCCATCCAACTACCCCTCCATCCATCCATCCATCCATCCATTTATCCATCTATCCTTCCACCCATCCATCTATCCCTCCTTCTATTCATGCATCTTTCCATCCATTTATCTCTTCTTCCATTCATGCATCCATGCATGCATGCACACATTTTCCATCTATTGCTCTTTTCATTCATGCATCCATCTATCCAAACAGCACCTGGATCTTTTTCTGGGATTAGTAATCTTTCAGAAGCATCATGAAGTCTGGTCTCATTGTGTGTGTGTGTGTGTGTGTGTGTGTGTGTGAAGATGGGGAAGGGAAGGAAAAGACACCTGTGACTTGACCTTGGACTGTGATTTCTCAAGTGGGCCAGAGACCCAGAGTCTGTTGAGAAGGCAGCACGCAAGGGGCAGTTGTCTAAGGAAGGAAGAGGAGAGCTAGGGACATGTTTCACTCAAGACCTCAGCAGTTCTTGTCAATAAAACTATGACTTGCAGGCCATATGTTGCCAATCTTTAGAATAAAAAATCATAATCATAACTGCATTTATTCCTTGAAATCCACTCACTCCTTTTATTTAGGCATAAATGCTTACACTCACAATGATTATTAATCTATATTTCTAATAATGGCTAACTTATAATATCCTCCTTTACAAATTCTTCTTTACAGTGCTGGTTTGGATGTTAAGACACCATTTCATATCTAATGAAACCTGTACAGAATGTAGTTTGTTACAAGCCAATAGGCATTTTATAACATTTTTGGATGATGATAATTTTAACAAAATAAACAATCTTCATGGATTTTTAAAATATTACTAACCAGTAGGAACCCATGAATGTGCACATGACTTTAAGACGTGTCATAATTAGAACAAATCATTTAGGGAGAAATGTAGCAAATTTCAAAATATTACAGAGCTATCTTGGTGTCCCAGGCTTATGCTATTTCTAAATACTTCACAAAAAATCAAAATGAAGTGGCAAAAATTGTACTCATATTTCTGGAGAACTTACTTTTCTGCTCTCACTATTTAGCCAAGCTTTCTGCACTTCTATTCTAGCTGCTTTCTTTACTAACAGGTATTATGATGGCACATTAAGGAACGTTAAATCTGGAGATAAAGTGAATATATCATTGATGTGCTTTGATTTCAAATTATTTCACTATTTGGTTTTCAGTTTGATACCACTTTTCAATTAAATGGAATAGGGTTTACACACTTATGCTGCTGCTGCTGCTGCTAAGTTGCTTCAGTCGTGTCCAACTCTGTGCGACCCCACAGATGGCAGCCCACCAGGCTCCCCCGTCCCTGGGATTCTCCAGGCAAGAACGCTGGAGTGGGCTGCCATTTCCCTCTCCAATGCATGAAAGTGAAAAGTGAAAGTGAAGTCGCTCAGTCGTGTCCGACTCTTAGCGACCCCATGGACTGCAGCCTACCAGGCTCCTCCGTTCATGGGCTTCTCCAGGCAAGAGTACTGGAGTGGGATGCCATTGCCTTCTCCATTACACACTTATGGGGAACTACAAATAACACAGAGAACCCTCTGTGGTAAAAATCATGATCAACTCAAACACAAGTTGAAATTTAAAATGTTTAAGCAAGTGCTAGTAATTTCCATAATTGAAATTTAGTTCATTCACCTCGGGGGCAGACTGCTCAAATAAATTGATTTCATTCCTCAGAAAAGACAATGAACAAAGATGTTACTCTGACAATATTCATTCCTGAGGTTCAACTGATTGTTCTTGGAAATTGGCAGAAAGAAGTAGGTCAAAGAAGACTCTGAACCTGTATCAGGTACAAACTTCTAAAGTTCGTCAGAGTCTATATGAGTTGGGGGAATATTCAAAGAGGTCAGGAGGAATCTAGCCTGAAAACCAAGTTCTTTTTCTATTCTTGGAAATATCTTATGCTCTTTCATTTATGTCCCAAATTGAACAAAAGCCAAAGAATTACCCTCACACACACACACAACAGTATCACACAGAGGAGAATTCAAGTCTTTAGCTTGTTTACCTTTACACTGTATATTTAAATACGATGAGTTAATGATAAGAGACAATAAGACCCCCCAAAGGGAGCCTCAGAGCCAAAAAATAAAAGAGGAAATATATAAATATATTTGAAAAGCCTACCAAATCAAAGCCTTTTTTTCTGCTCTCTTGGAGATATACTTTAAAACATAAATGAAGCACAGAAAATCAATAGTATCAAAGATAATACACTCCCATCTGATCCACAGAGTGACCTATCAGTTCTTATGAGTTTCTAACTTTTAGAACTTTATAAAACACAGATCAATATTTAGACACAGAGAGGACTTTGAGAACTGTCAAATCAATCGAAGCATTATACTATCTTTGGGTAAGTTTTATAGCTACCATGATAGCAAAGATGACAGATTTTTAAAAGGCATTAAGCACATACTGAAAATACCCAGGACCTCATGTAAATGTGTTTAATTTTCTGCACTCCAAGAAAAGTTCATAAATTATTAATAAAAGATAAGATAAAAAAAGTAGAAGATGATAGGAGGAAAGAAGGAAAAAAATATTGACCTTTTGTTTCTTCAAGGTGTAGCATTTAATTTTAGACCTCTATGTCTTCTTGGTCTTTCTATGTCTGTTATTTTTTTTCCAGTATTTATATGTATGTAGTATTGATAATGAAATTTAGAAGTACAATTCTTGACTACATTAGAGGTTTTAATACACTGCTGAAATGATC